TTAATTAGGTTTTAAGTACATTAATTTTTAGTCTTTAATCCTTGGTAATTAGCCCTTTTCAATTCAGTTTTTTGTGGTTTTGTTAATCCATTTCGTTGGGCCAAGTCAGTCTTGGAGGCCCAGAGTTTTTTTGTCCATTTTCAGGTCCAAAGATCATTGCCAGCAGGTCCTATATAAAGCATGCCCACGTGTTGCGCTAGGGGGAGAGCCACGTTTCCACTCAGAAAGGCCCCCACATATTCACTGCATGCACTCTGCATGAGTGACACATCACCCACCCACTATCTCTCCCAGACCACGTGTAAGCCATGCAACCACTCCCTCCACTCACCTCACCACTTGTCTGCGTCTGAACCACCACCGGTTGCATGGCCGACGGCCATGCAACCACCGCACCAGAACATCGCCGGCAGCCCTAACTACATCCGGCCACCGCAACCACTTCGCCGGAGACCGTTTTTCCAGAAATTCATTTCTAACTCTTAGTCTTTCTTCTCCGATCCACCTCCGATCTTCACCTTCATCACCGATAATCAACAAAATCCCCAGAATTTCACCTCTTTTCCTTACTCGTCATCGAGAAATGTCCAAATCATTAGAACCTTCAACCGGGAATTATCATCATACCAGATCCAGATTTCCCAGATTTTGAGTGTTTATCAGATTTTCCAGAAGATCTTCATCGATCTTCATGGAATATTCAACCGTTCATCAAGAATGTTGTTCAGTTCTTCATAAACCTTCATGTGTTTCCAGAAGTTCATCCTGAGATCACCAGATCTTTCAACATTCATCAGCACTCTCTCGATCTTCATCACCGTCGCCTTCTTCAAGATCTTCACCAACAAATCTTCAGAGCGCTCATCAGTTTCGTTTTTCCAGAAATCGCCGTGGATTCATCGCTCATCTTCAAGATCTTCAAAGATCTTTGAAGATCATCTTCAACATGCAAATTTCAAGAACGACCTCACAACAACCGCGTTCATCATTCTCCAGATTCGTCAGATCAACAAGATTCCTTCAAACCACATCACCTTCAGATCATCAGCGCTTACCAAGTGCGTTCAACGTGTTCATCAGTTTTCCGTCGTAGATCCAGATTTCGTCCAGATTCCTCAACCTTCATCGTCGATTCGTTCATCCAGATCGCTTCGCCAGCGTTTTGGTGGATCATTCTAAGGCTGAGTGTTAGGGAGTGAAGCAAACCGAGAGATTGGAGATGAAGATTGAACGGGTTTGAGAGAACAGAGAAGAGGAGTTTGAAGATTGTGAGAGAGAGAGTTGAGACGGCGAGGTAAGGGAGACGGAGGAGTTTGGTCGGCGGCGCTGTGAAGGGAGAAAGGAGAATTAGGGTTTCGATTCAGAGGAGAGTGAGAGTGAGAAGAGGAAGGTCATTGGCTTGATTTCGGATTGGGCTTCTTGGGCCCAAAGTTTTTCTCAACATACCCCCTCAATTTCCTATTCCCCCCCCCCCTGCTGTGTGTCTGTGGCAATGGGCCAAGCCCAACGAGTTTTTTTGCTGGCATTACCCCAGTTCACTCACAGCACCCCCTCCCTCCGTTTTTGTTTGGCTGTTAGCTTGTAATGGGCTGGGCCCCAATTCCCATTTATTTTTCTGCAGATAGTACCTTCTACTGCAGCGCACCCCCCTGTTGTATTTTTTTCTTGTTTTGTTCTTATTTTCTTGTGTTTAGAGATATTGAAACAATATATGAAAAAGAATATTTTGAAAAAAAGAAAGATGGAAAAAGAAGAGAAAAGAGATATTGAAAAAATATATGAAAAAGAATATTTTGAAAAAAAGAAAGATGGAAAAAGAAGATAAAAGAATATTGAAAAATATAAAAAAGGAATATTTGAGGAAGGAAAAAATATATAAAAAAAGAGAGAATAATATTGGAAAAAGAAAGATACTTGAAAAAAATAGTAAAAAAATATTACATTGTGGATTTAATATTTTTCTGTTAGGATATAATTTTCATAGAGTTTATTTTGCACTTTTAGAAGTAGGTTTAGAGGTCCACTTGTTAGGGGACTATTTTCCATTTGATTAATTTTCCATGATAGATGGATAAGATAGTATTTCCTAGGGGTTTATTTTCAGTATTCAACCATTGTAACCATTTTTTTTCCAGAATGTTAATAAAATGAGATTTGAGTTGTGGTCCCGAAAGTAGCCGAACTACAGCTGCTCTGATTTCTCGTACCAGACGAGAATATGTAGGCATAGGATGCGATATCCTAGCGAGCACACTAACAATTAACCTTTTGTTCTCTCGCTGCTGTGTGATCGAGACTTTCCCGCTGACGACTGATTAGTATCCCTTTCTTTTGCCCGAGTGCATTTGAGACCAGACCGTAGTTTTTTCCATAGGTCCCCGAACCTTTGAAACCAGTTTGATTTCTCACTGCTGTGTGAGAATACCCAGATTAGCCGTAGTTAGCCTGAACTACGTAAGCTCTGATCTTCCATGCGGTGTGGAAGTACGTAGGCACAAGACGCGAGGTCTTGGCGAGCCCATTTCCCCGTAGTCCCGAACTACGTTGACTCTGACTTTCTCTCTTGAGAATACGTAGGCATAGAGTGCGACGCTATATCGAGTCAATTCCCTTCTGTTTAGATTTAGCAGCCGTAGATAGATTGTTTTTGCATCCTGTAGACAACCCAAGCAAGCGTGGATCCCGTCGAGTACGACGGACGTGAGGGGTGCTAATACCTTCCCCTTGCGTAACCGACTCCCGAACCCAGGTTTTGGTTGCGATGACCATACCTTTTCCCGTTTTTTGCGAGGTTTACTTTGAGCGTTTCCTTTCCCTCTGTTGGGATAAATAACGCACGGTGGCGACTCTTCTGTCAGCCGGCGCCGATTTTCGCAGTAGCGACACTCCTCTATAGAGATCTTCGTATTTCGACCAACATCATAGTTTTCTTGAACCCGATTTATGCTTCACTGAAAACTACATCTCGAATTATGATACAACTCTTATGGCTTGGCTCTAGGCACCACAAACTATAAACTTTAACTTCTTCAGGGTATTCAAGAAACACACATCTCAAAGCTTTAGATCTGACCTTGTCTTGCCTAATGTGAGCATAGGCTAAAATACTAAATACTCTAAGTCTGCCGAGGTTAGGTGGATGTCCCGACCATACTTCTTCAGGAGTCTTCATCCCCAAGGTAGTCAAGGGACACCTATTTATCAAGTATGCTACAGTCACAATTGCCTCAGCCCAAAACACATTCTTCAATCTAACACTTACAAACATGCATCTAACCTTTTTAGGATTGTTTGATTGAATCTTTCAGTCAGGCCATTTTGTTGAGGAGTACCCACAGTAGTCTTGTGCCTTGCAATACCAGACATACTACAGTAACTGTTAGAAGCTTCATTGCAAAACTCAAGGACATTATCGGTTCTCAACATTTTGACCTTCCTGCTAGTATGATTTTCAACTAGAGTCATCCAACTTTTGAAAATTTGAAAACTTTCATCCTTAGTCTTCTCGATGAATATCCATAACTTTATGGAATAATCATCGACTATGGATAGAAAATACTTTGCACCTGATTGTGAAGGATTCCTTGCAGGCCTACAAAGATCAGCATGAATTTAATCAATGGATTCATGTGTTCGTTGTTTGCCTTTGTTAAACTTCACTCTTTAGGATTTACCAAACACCCAAGGTTCACAGAATCTCAACTTCTCGACTTTGTCATCACCCAGAAGATTTTATTTCCCCATTTCAAAAAGACTCATTTCACTTACATGGCTCAATCTCATGTGCCATTGTTCTATCTTCAACCCATGTTTCATGGAGGAAAAATATGTTGATCCACTTATAACCTCTGCCTGAAGTGCATACAAGCCTTGTTTCTTCACGTCTCTTAAGACTTCCTTCGACCCCTTGATAACTCTTAGGACACCATACTCTACCTTGAACACATATCCTTTCTTGTAGAATTCACCAAGAGAAATCAAAATTCTCTTAAGGTCAGGTGCATACCTGACACCAGTCAATAACTTTATTGACTCATCATGGAGCTTGAATCTAAAGGATCCAATACTTGCGATTTTGCAAGCTTTGTTGTTTCCCATCAACACTGGTCCACCATCTTGATCACATAATTCATCAAACACGTCTTTGTTTGGAGTCATGTGTCAAGTGCAACCTCAATTCATGATCCATTCCTTGCAAGAATTGCTGCTCAAAACTACCAGGACATCAAACGATTCGAAATCATCTTGAACAATGGTTGCATTCCCATTATCCTTACCACCATGATCTTTCAGGCACTCAGGACACACCATTCTTGTATAACCATCCTTCTTACAGTGGTAACACCTAATTCCAAGAGCATCATCACCATAAGACTTCTTTTGACCTTTATCCTTCTTCTCAAACCTTCCATCATTCCTCAAGAATTTCAAATTAACAAACAAACTTTCACCAACAGACGATGGCTTATACTCCTTTCACTTGTTCAAGAGTACAAGGCTGATTGAACTTCTACAAAGGTTAGGGAATCTCTTCCATACAAGAGAGTTTCTTCGAAATGAGTATGAGACTTAGGTAAAGTACACAACAATAACAACGCTTGATTTTCATCATTGATACTAACTCCAATATTCTCCAGATCAAGAATCAGCTTGTTGAACGTATCCAACTGCTCCTTCAAAATTCTATTTTCACTCATCTTAAATAAATACAAAGTTTGCTTCAAGTACAAGAGATTTACCAAAGATTTATTCATGTGCAACCCTTCTTATTTTACATGATTTATTTCTTGCATTTTTTTAATCTGAGACTTGAACTCATGAATTAGATTTATTCCTTTGATATTTTTTTACTGCATATTACATGCCTTTCTTTAATAAACTTCAATAACACAAATTACATTATTTTTAACAAAGAAATCATTCATAAATTTCACACAATTTATAACAACATGCCAACATATTGAATTGCACATGTCAACATCTAGTCATAATTATATGAACTACTTGAGACAAAGATCTTTTGCCAAACCATTGACTTGTTGTATATTGGTATCAATCTCAGACAAAATGGTAGACTGATCTTCAAGAATATCCTCCAATCGGAAGCATGGCACAACAACTTTCCCCCAAGCTCTTCCAGTTTCTATATAACCAAAAGCCTCAATCACATTCTCAAAACTATATTCACCTCTTGGATCAATCACAGCTTTTAACTCTTCTCTTTCCAAATATGGCTTCAACTTTTCCAAGAGTTCACCACAAACTGTCAAACTTGAATAAACTGCTCTTGGATGTGATGGAGGCCATGTTATGTCAACTATTGCTCCATCATCCTTTGCTACAACAATAGATTTCTTGTAATCACCTGAAAATTTTCAATCATTAATTCACTATGCAAATGCAAAACATCATCATGGATTTGAGAAGACAAACATTATTACCAATAGTATCATAGAGAAAATCAAATTTCTCATCAATGTCTTCATATTTAGTCTGAGTATAATCCACCACTTTATCAGCACCAAACTGTTTCACAAACTTCACTTTCGGTGTGCTGCATGAAGACACAACATAGGAAGCTCCAAACAAAAGTTTGGCCAATTGAAGAACCAAAGTTCCAACACCACCTGCTCCACCAACCACAAACATTGTCTCACCCTTCTTAAAATCTCCTGTTTTGAAGCCTTCTATTGCTGTTTGAACTGCCAAAGGCAAACTCGCAGCTTCCTCAAATGAAAGAAATTTTGGTTTTCTTGCAACAAAAATCTCTTCCACAACAATGAACTGTGCCAATGTTCCAAGTTGCTTTGGTTTTTCATTAGTATTATTGAAATCTTGTATGTTTCCATACACTTCATCACCTATATCAAATTTTTTGACATTAGTACCTTTTCCTATCACCACCCCAGCCATGTCGCATCCAGGAACTGTTAGAGAATCAAATTAATCTTATTTAGTCTTTTTATTTAATGTTATTTATTTAAATAAACTCAGTCAATGATGTTCCTTATTTTATGCTGAATATGTGGCCTGTAACTTATGTTAGTGGGTTTTATGGAGAGATTTTAGCAAATCTCTGTAACCGTCATATTTACGGTGTATAAGTAGGAAATCTCAACTTAATGAAAGAAACAAATTCTACAATATATTCTCAACCTATATGGCAACGACACCAGCCGCCATCCAATCGGCAACGACACCAGCCGCCATCCAACCGCTCACCCTCCACTCATTTCCGCCCTCCTCCCATGGTTCCCCCGCCACAAGCTCGACCATTTCTTGGTAAATGCCAATGGTGCCGTGAAACGGGCCACGTCGTTGCCTACTGTCCTCTCTTCCGCCAACAGCATCCAAATGCTCGTCCTCCAACAATGCCCAGAACTCCTGCACCTCCACCCCCACCTGAGGCTCACACCCGACATCGACATCTCAAAACTACATAGTCGACAGCGGAGCCACGCACCACGTTGTCAATGACCTCGACCAACTCTCCCTCCATTATCCCTACAATGGTCCGGACGAACTATTCATGGGCAGTGGTGAAGGTTTGCGAATCACTAACTCTGGAACTCTTTCACTTAGCACTTCTGCATCTTTGTTTAATTTACCAGATACTCTTTGTGTTCCACAAATGACCAAAAATATTATTTCTGTTTCTCAACTTTCAAATCAACAGAACTGTGCTATTGTTTTCTTACCCCATTCTTTTCATGTTAAGTGTCTCAAAACAGGCAGGATTCTTCTTAATGGGCCTTGCAGAGACGGCTTGTACGTGTGTGATCGCGACTTTCTATGTCTAATACAACCTAACTGCAAGTGCACAGTCTATCGCGTAGTAATAATAGATATCGATCCCACAGGGACTCGTAATCAAACTAGTGTTCTCGGGAGTTACTATGTTTAGCTAGGTAGAATATGTTTAAGGGAATAAGATTGTCACTAAAAGGGAACTAAGAATACTATTTAAATTATAATTGGTTGAATCGATACGTAGTAATTGTGTTCTTCAGGGATTTGATAAGTCATGGTGTATGAAATAATTTTCAAAGTTTATTCAAGCAGAAAATGGAGATTTGAAGACTCTCGCCTCACGATGGTTATTGACGCTAATCATAATCCTAAGGGCCAAACGTACACTTTCGTATTCCGTTCGGGGTTAAAATTATTTTTTTGGAAATCTCTAAGTTCTAATTCATCTTAAAGTGCTTTCGCTGTTATTAAAACAAATTCCTAGTGTTTACTATCTGACCTTACCGCAGCTTTCGCTTGTTGGTTCGTATCTTAATTAATTTCCCACTTTCGTGGCAAAACTACTTTTAAATAAGTTCTCGCTTTCGCGACGAAGTTTATTCAGTGAATCAATTTTAAACACTCAGACCATAGATTACTTTTGTGAAAAGAAAGTTTCCAACCAATTGTTATCAAATCCCATTCGAATTATTACTACATATCGATTACCTAAGTTTAGCTAGACATGGATTTGGGAAAGATAAAATATAAATAAAAACAATAAATAATGATTTGCATTATAATAATAATTGAAATCGATCAAAATGAAAACCTGTAAATATTCCGATTGGCCTTTGGGCAGATCCTCCACAGATGTTGGCAGGATTCTGGTCTTTAGTACCAATTTGATCGTACAGTACAATAGAAATTACAGAAGAGTGGAAATGGGAATAAGGAAAGGTAAAGAGAAACAAATGAGAATAAAACTGGAAAATAATGCTCTGGAAAGTAAATTCGGCAGCACTTCGTGGTATGAATGCAGCACCCTTTCTGAAGTCCCCTGCTTCCCTTTTTATAGAAGTGGAGTCCCAACGGTTATCTCTGAAGATGATGGACCTTGAGGCAGATGATTTAGGGAGTAGTGGTCCACTCTGTGGGAATTGGAACTGATTCTTTGACGTGTAATCTGAGTGGGGCATTTTTGCCTGCATGACGGTCGTCACAAGGTGTGACGGTCGTCACCCGTGTGACGGTCGTCATGGATCTGTGGCGGTTGTCACATCAGCAAAAATAGCTTGCTGCGCTTTTCATTGTGTTTTCACTCCTTTTTCGTCCATATTTCATCTGAGATTGCTTCTTTTCTTCATGTTGCCTTGTTTAGACGTGATCGTTGAATACCTGCAAAACATCAGACAAATACACGGAAATAACCCGAAATCGGATTGAAAACGGTTAGACTTTAGTTGAATTATGCATGAAAATATCTATACGATTTCGTGTTATCAAACTCCCCTAAGCTTGAATCTTTGCTTGTCCTCAAGTAAAACATGGAAAAGTCGGCAAGCACGAGGCAGCTTCTTCGTTCGCAGAGTTTGGAAAAACCGGGATTCTTGGTAGGAACAAGACGAGTATCATGACGACACTGGACTACAAGTCTTCGGAGGTCTCCTTTTTATGCAAATCAGTCTCAGTCATGCTACTGTAGCTTGGTGTCAAGGTTCTCGCGGCAAGTTCACCCTGTTTGTTCTAGCGCAATCACATTAAGCCCGTTGTCCGCACACTTTCATGGCAAGTCGACCTGTTAGTGAATATGATCTCATTTCTGTTTTTGATCTTCTTCATCGATCATAATTTTATGTCATTGATTTTCAATGAGTTTTTTGTGTCGTTGGGCTAAATGCTCGGGTGAGGAACACCTAACTTAGAAGGAAACGTATCTTATATTCTTGGGCTTTTTAGCTCTCTTTTCATGATTTTTCATCTTTTTGGAGATCATATACTTATTTGCATCGGTCGCTCGCTTAGAAGTGTTTTTAGGATGGTGCTGACTGCTAGTATAAACTACTTGGGGTTGGGTTTTGTTGCACCCCAAAATTTGCCCTCACAATACAAGACTTTGTGTTCCAAGAAGGTTCACAAGGTTCACAAAATTCACAATTGGTCAGAAGAGTTGACAATTCCCTCAGACAATGCACCTCCTAAGCAGTGCATCCAAAACTAGGGTTCTGACTTTAATCAGGCTAAATGGACTTCCAAGACTTCAAGTGAGCTTCATAACATCTTATATGTGTATAAGAACCCCCATGTCAAGTTTCAAGACTTTTCTCAAAAGTTTGCTCAGTCAGATGATCAGATAAGTCAAAAGCAGTCAATGCAGTTAAAAGGTCAAACTGAGGTCAACTGTGGTCAAACCAAAGTCAAACTTCATGATTTTTTTTTTGCCAACATCAAAGAGAGGTTGGGTGAGAAATATTATCATAATAACTGTAATACCCCAAATTTTGCCCTAAGATTTGTCGTCGCATTTCATTGCATTTAATCAATTACTAACAAATTTGTGTAGTCGTTTGACTTTTTGCAGGTAAATATCATATGGCATGCATTTTTTTTCTAAAAAGTAAAAATGGCACAATTGGCAGGAGGACATGTGTAAGGAGTTATGAGTGTGAGAGGTTGAGAGTTCGAATCTCACCTTTGTCACTTTTTTTTTGTTTTTTATTATTTTTACTCTAAATTTTTCTATCTTTCATTAAAAAAATAACAAAAATAGTTTTTTATTATTATTTAATTATTATTTTCGTATTTTAATTAAATCATTTTTTAAAATATTATTTTTTTCACTTTTTTCTAAATTATTCATAAAAATATCCAAAAAATCATAAAATAAAAAATATTGAAAAAATTTTTGTTCTTTTTATAATATTTTTTATTTTAGGAATCAATAGGATTATTAGTTTTTATTTTAAGTTTATTTTAATTATTTTAAATTATTTAAATTTTATTTTTTCTTAACTAATTATTTAGTTTGGGCTTTAAAATGGGCTTTAGGGACATTATTGACAATTTGGTGTTAACCCTAATTTGTTCCCTATATATACATGTGTTGCCTTGTTGGAAAAAGAGGGAGAGAAGGAAAAAAACCTAAGAGGAGTGAGTGCCGTTTGCCGTTATTTAGTTTTCTTCTTCATCCATTACTATTGTTTCTTTTTCTTCATCGTTTACCGTTATTTCTTTTCCTTCATCTATTACTGTTATTTCTTTTTCTTCATCTTTTACCGTTATTTCTTTTTCTTCATCTATTACCGTTATTTCTTTTTCTTTATCTATTACTGTTACGTTTATATATATATAATTTTTAAATTGTTAGAGTTTATATATATAAGATTTTTGATCGAATTATGTCGATACGATGTTTGCACATTTGTGTGCATGACGCGTGACATTTGTGTTAGTTCGATCTGGTTGCGATGATCGCATTTTTGTGTGAGCAATAATACTATTTTTTGCTTAATTTCTTTTTCTTTGCGATAAATTTTGTTTCGTCCGATTTAGATCTGGTTGCGATGAGCGCATTTCTGCGTTAGCAACATTGTTGGGTTATTTGGCACATTTAAAATTCATTATTGCTTTATTATTATTATTATTATTATTATTATTATTATTATTATTATTATTATTATTATTATTATTATTATTATTATTATTATCATTATTTATTATTATTATCATTATTATCATTATTATTACCATTATTATTATTATTGTTATCATTAATTTATTAAAATTTGTTATAATATAAAAATCTGTTTTTTTAAAATAAATAACATTAACATCTTTTCCAAATTAATATGAAAACCTATTATTTTTAAGAAAAACTTTTTTTTAAGATAAATTTAAAATAATAACTAAAATCTTTTTTTTTAAAATAATAACTAGAACCGTTATTTATTTTATTTTATTATTGTTCAATTCAAATTTCATTATCACATTGTATCTGCTCCTCTCATGTAACCTCGCGAACTTAACAATCGCTCTTTAAATTCTGCCTTTAAATTTCTGCTTGCATGGTTTAAATTATGACATTATCTCTCTGTTTGCATGATTCAATTATCTCACGCGTTTACTATTATTTCTGTCACATTGCACACATCCGAAGGTTAGGTCTAACTGTTTGGCCGCCGCGC